GCCCTTGATCAGAATCGAACCTGGGACCCTTCAGTCTGCAGGCCGACGCTCTATCCACTGAGCCAAACCGGCTAGGGCTTGTTCCAGTTTTTTGTTATTGTTGGTTCTTTTGCCTATAGAAACAATTCTGAAATGAATGTTCTTGTATTGTGTTTTTATTTATTTATTCAATCTTATGACAAACATTTATTGAGTACTTTCTCTGTGCCAGGCACTATTCCAGATACTTTAGATGTAGCAGTAAGAAAAACAGAAATCCCTGCTTGATTTTCTTGGATTTATAGGGGACCTGTCGGTAAACTAGAGGATCCACGTTGTAAAGAAACATGGTTTTGTTGTTGTTTGTATGTAATTTCATCAGATCTTGAGAGAGGACTGTGACTGAAATAAGTCAGAGTCCACTGGTTTAAAGATTATCTTTATAGTTCACCCTCTTAAGAATTGCTTCCCATATTGTGTTACAATTCTGGTGGTCCACGTGGTTTTCCATGGTTGTCAAGTGGATTGTGCATTTTAGAAAGATTTCTACTAAAAAGGCTTAACCTGATATCATAGCATTTAAAAGCCTATATTTTTCTTAATTAGGAAATCTATTAATTCAGAATAATTTTCATGTTCTTCTCCAAACATGAACTGAATAACTTAAACATTAATATAATACAAAAATATTGGTGTAGAATCTTCTTTATAGTTTACAAAATTAGAGAGTTACTGATTTAATAATAAATCTATAAATTTGTTCCTTGAGACATGTACACTGTCTCTAAAGTGCTGTATTAACATTGCACTCTAATTCATTTTCTAAAAAACCCATCCAAAAAAGCTTTTATATAATCAATTATACAGGTTTATGTTGCATACAACATTAGATATATTGCTTTTATACTGCTATGGTTTCCTATTTTTAAATGAAATCAAGTTAAATTAAAGCCAAATAGTTATATTTACATTTATATGACCCTCTTAGTGAATTATTTTCAGAGTCATCTGGCATTCTAAATGAAGCTCATTTCCTTTTAGGTAGGACCGAGTGCCAGACTAGTATATTAGGAGAAAATGCAGGTGGTCCATCTTAATTTGAATGAGGCCTTTGACAAAGCTATTGTGGTACTCTTTGACTGAGATGAAGATAGTGCTTTTAGATGGTTTCATTGAAGAAGGTTTTCAAAGGATATTGCTTAATGGCTGCATATCAGCTTGGAAGAAATTTTGTTTTTAATCTTAGGATCTCTTTTTAAAAATAGTTTCTTAATACAGAAAAAGATGTAGAAGAAATGAATTACCCGGGGACTGTCTTGTTAAAAGGTTCACAAACTGATTCATGCATTTCTTTAAAAAAAAAAAAAAAAGTAAGCCCTGGCTGGGGACTCAGTTAGTTGGAGCGTCATCCCATACACCAAAAGTTTGCAGGTTTGATTCTTGGTCAGAACACTTACCTAGGTTGCTGGATTGATCCCCAATTGGGAAGCGTGTGGGAGGCAACCGGTTGATGTTTTTTTCTCACATGGATGTTTCTTGCCCTCCCTCCCTCCCTTTCTCTCTCTCTAAAATCAGTAATAAAAAAAAAAATATCCTCGGGTGAGGATTAAAAAGAAAAACTGAAACAATCCCAATGTCCATTAATAGAGAATTGGTTAAATAAATTAAAGCATATCTTTTTAATGAAATAGTACACAGCTGTTAAAAAGGAATGCAGTAGATATATGTCTATAGGGGAAGATCTCTAAGATGTTATTTTCTAAAAAATTCAAGAGTGCAATATAGAAAAAGAGGAAAAGAGTATGTACTAGTATGTATGTACACATAGTACATATATAGTTGCATATGTAGGTTTTAAGTGATATAATTGTATTTGAGTCTATGAGGAAAAATTGTTCTGAAAGGATGTATAAGACAATTAACAAAGGTTATCTTTGGGGAGAGGAACAGAGTATCAGAAGTCAGGAGGAGGAAACTTCTTTTCACTTGTGACCTGCTCTGTATTTATCGCATTCTTTCTATCTATACATTTTTTATTTCTTTTTAGGCGGTTAAGGTTAAAAGCTTTTCTGAAGCCTTTTGATTTTAAAAAAGAATCAACCTAACATAATCCAAAGAAACATATTTTGGGGTGAAATCCTGCTCCCCTACAGTCACCTGGCAGAATTTTTAGATGTGGAGAAGAGGGTAATGGTTTGCAGAGAGCACAGAACAGACTGATTCTGTGTTGTTCCCAGAGAAAGAACTAGAACCAGTTGATAGAGTTTTAGGATGTGTTCTCTTAAAATGGAAAATATTTATTCTGCAATTTGAAATCATCATAAATCAAACATAAGCCAGATGACATCTGTGAAGAAAGTTGTAACTTAGAGTCCTGCTTACCATGAGAGATTGGTCTGGGTAATCTCTGTGGCCTTTTGAATCTGGATTTTTTTCTTTTATTTTTTTGTGATAAATGTCAGATGAATATTTTCTTTTTAAATAGGACACTGATGAAATTCAAGTTAACTATCCTGGAATGTTTGAATTGATGGAAGATTTACAAGGTAAGGCACTTTAAAGCATTTTCACACTTTCTCCAACAACACCAGGCACAGAACAGATAGTTAAATTTGTTTGGGTTGGGACTTTGCTAGTTGAGAGTGACATAAAGACAAATGGGTACAAAAGGTGAAGGGATTAAGAAGAACAGATTGGTAGTTACAAAATAGTCATGGGGTGTAAAGTATGGCTTAGGGAATATAGTGAATAATACTGTAATAACTATGTATGATGCCAGGTGGGTACTAGAGTTATCAGCGGGATCACTTCTTAAACTATATAAATGTCTAATACACTTGAAACTAATATAATCTAATATTGAATGTTCACTGTAATTGAAAAATTTAAAAATAATTCCAAGAGTGTAATTGAAATAATCTAAGCTGGAAGGAACGGTACTTTGAAAGAAAAAAAGAACAAGCTAATGGATTGGCAAAAAGTAGAGGAGACATGCACAAGTGATCCCAAGGTGGTCAGAGAGTGATTGTGGTTGAAATACCAAGAACACTGGAGCACAGGAGATGGTCAGCATACGGGATATTTGAATTAATGATTTTGGAACATGTTGTAGATGTGATGGAGAAGTCTATTAGTGGTGAGGAGACTAAGAAATCTTAGAGGCCATGGTACTTGACTGTTATTAACAGTGAAATCACCTGTGCTGGTGGCAGGACTTGTGCACAGAGGGAAATTGAACCAGGTGAATGACAGGAGGGCCTGGGAGCCTGATATCTGACAGCAGCAGGAGTGGTGCGGGTCTCAGCAGGGTAAGGGTTTTAATAGGCAGAGAAGTAATGGCTTGGAAGAGGCTTGGAGCAGCTACGAGGACACAGACCCTGCCCTTGGCCATGAAAGAGGTGAGGTATGCAAAAACACACAGCTACCACTGAGGGCTACTGGAAAAGTGACTTTCTCTATGGAGAGCCTTAACTTACCTCCAACCCCGTGAGCATCTGTGAGGTTGGATTCTTTTGTTACACAAATGGCATAAACACCTGTTTGATGAATGGGGAAGCTGTATGGATTAAAGGCGTGTTGTGTGAAACCAGGGAGCCTTCATCTGGATCCTGAAAACTTAAAGTGATTTAAAGCAAGAGGATTATAAAAAGAAATACTTTGTTTACAGACTTATAGTTTTTTTGTAAGCGTTATTGCACTCGCTTCCCTCAACCACTCTCTGGTAACTACTTCATCTCTGCATTACAAGTGAGAAAAAGGAGGCCTAAAAGAGAACACTTACCTCCTAGTAGAAGAATTAGGTGCTAAACTCTTGCCTTCTTGACTCTTGCACTGGAACGCTCTTACCTGATTCTACTGCTTCTTGTAGCTACCCGTTTGTAACAGATCCATTTGAGCCATTGTCCAGCCTCTTTTGAGAACCACAAGGGGAAAGACGTGTAGCGGAAAACTTACTATTATAGTCATTCTTTATTTATTATACTTCAGTACAGGGCCTGGCAGCCTTAGCGTGCAGCCCAACATGACAGGGAAGCAGTAATAACTCACACACTCCCTCCTGAGCCCTGCCCCGAACACTTGGCTCCCCCTGATCACTGAGCCCCTTTACTGGAAAGCTTGAGAGATGATGGTATGCTGATAATTTATCATTCACTGTTATGATAAGGGTACTTTTCAAATACAGCATTTATTTTTGTTCTGCTGCACAAAAAATGCTGTGCTCATGATTCATTTCAAGAAAGGAAAGAGAGACTAGAAATTAGACCTATCAATTGAAAGAGGTTGCGACCCTCTGATTTGAAAATATAGTACTTACTCTGTGCCAGGTGCAGTTCTTTGAGATTTCCTAGTATCCTAATTTTACACATGCGCACATTGAGACATCGGGAAGTTAAGTATCTTGTCTGTGATCACAGTAAGTCTGGAGTTATGATTTGAATCCAGAGTCCTATACTGGGTATTTGATCTATGTGGGTTTTTTTTTCATTGAAGTTAGATGGACGTTCAGTAAAATGCACTAATCTTAAGTGTACAGCGGCTTTTATTTCATCCAAATGAAGCTATAAACTAGAAGGTTGACTCATACCCGCTCCCAGTTGATAACCTGGGTTTTAAATTGGTCATTATTTGGGGGAACGGTTGCCTTTTATTTACCTTCAAGAGGCTTTGCCAATGCCCTATATAGTAGGCATTTTACTGTATAGTCTTTTACACAAATCATGTGTTTTAGTCTTAGATATTTCCTGTTCTTAGGAGGTTTAAGAGGAATTATTTAAAGATAACTTGTAAAAATAATATCTAACAAAGTAGATACAAACATTAACTGATTGAGTTTATATTCATTCACTTACCATTTATTGAGCATCTACCATGTGCCAACCACTGAGCCAATGATAGGAATACACAGTTCCTGATGTCAGGAAGCTTATGCTCTATGGAGAGACAGATATCTGTATTTAGCTGTAAAATGAGATCAATACAGAGAGAAACGAGTAAAAGCCCCTAAACCTTCTTAGGGAGTCAGGGATGCTTTGCAGAAGAGGCAGCACCTCAGCTAAATGGGCTTGCCAGGAGAATGAAGGAGTGGATGCAGGCTTGGGGCGGGGCGGGCATTGCATTCCGAGCCAAGAAAGTGGGCTGTGTAAAGGTAGAGATGTAAGAGGGTGCACACTTCCCTAGTGAAGGAACTGTACAGTAATGCAGTACTGCTTGAACATGTAGAATGCGGGGGTGATGAAAAATGATGCAGGAGAGGCCGTCAGAGGCTTCTAGATTTCTCAGGTGAGCCTGGTAGTGTCTTGGAAGAATTTTGCACAGAGGAAAGACAATCAGGTTAGCATGTCAGAGGGCTCACCCTGCAGCTATGTTTATGAGCATATTTATGAGGAAGGTGAGACTAGAGCTACCATAGTTAACCTCTCTTGTTCTGCTTGAGGGAATTGAGGCACAAAGAGAAGTCACTTGTTCATGGTGATGTATTTAGTAAGTGGTAGAGCCAGGGTTTAAACCCAGTGTAGCAGCCTGATTCAGATCTTGAAGTCTTTACTATACTCCTGATGAGAGGTCAGAGGCAGCTGAGACTGTAAGAGGTGGTCGGGATGAATGGAGGAGGGAGAAGCGTGGGAGAATTCCAGGTGTGCGGCTTTGCAGACTGGAAGATGGTGCTACCCTCAAATTGTTTTTTGGTATTTTACATTGGCTTATACATTTTTTCTTGATGGTTGTGGCATTTCTCATTCAAGCTGCCATTATTATTAATTCACAGAAAAAAGTCAAGAATGTTGACCTAACTTTACAAAACAAGTTGTATATCAGCGATGAATGCATGAAAAGTTTTGGAGGCTATCACAGTAGTTTTAAGGTAAGTTCAGTTATTATTATTATTTTTTTTTAGACAGTTCTCAGTATTTTTCCTAGTAAACTGGAATAAATCAGATTTTTTTTATAAACAGTTGAACTTAACCTTAAAAACACTGTGAAAGTCTTAATCAGTTACCTCCTTCCAGATTTTTCTGTTATGCCAAAGTGCAGAGCTGCTCAGGAGTCCCCAGATGTGTTTCCCAGGAGGTCTTCAGTAAAGGCCCATCAGGATGCGTTAGGAAGTGTTATCATTCCACTTTGAAGATCACAAAACTGAGTTTAATAGAGATTAAATGACTTTGCTTCCGGTCACGGAAGGGTCAGAACTGGGATTCTGACCCCTCAGTCTTTGCACCCATCACAGTGCTTCTGCAAGGAGGGAAGTTCAGGGTGGCCATGCATGTCCCTGTGAGGGGGTGGGCTGCCCTGGCAGCAGAGTTGCTGGCCATGCTGTATAGTAGTGCTCTTGAATTTCTGTATCAGAAAGAGCATTACGCCTAGGTCAGACCTTCAGGAAGATCATTGTCCCTAGTAATCTCAATTAGCAGATCCCAGTAACAGTTATTTAGAAGGCATTTCATAGAAATGCATTAAATATTTACATTTAAAAAATGAAACCTGCATTTCACGGGTGCTACCTGTTATCTAATCGTCAGTCTTGGAAACCACAACCATCATCAGCAATAGACTCTTCCAGCATGAGCCCAGTTTACCTATAGCTGATACTCACTATGCAGGAGAATGTTTTAAAATTAGATTATGTAATGAGTCCAAAATGTCAGCATTGGAAGCCTGGGAGATCCTCTAGTCCAGTGGTTCTCAACCTTGGCTGCACATTAGAATTACCTGGGAATCTTTTTAAAATCCTGATTTCTGGGCCTCATCCTCTGGAAATTCTGTTTCTTTGTTACTAATGTTGTGGCCTCCCCCCATATAACAAAGAAACAGAATTTCCGGAGGATGAGGCCCAGAAATCAGGATTTTAAAAAGATTCCCAGGTGATTCTAATGTGCAGCCAAGGTTGAGAACCACTGCTCTAGTCTGACCCAGAGCCATTGCTCTGAGATCATCCTGCTTCATGACCACAAGACTGAGATCCACCTTTTTCTTCCTGGGTTTGTCTGTTGTTCTTCATGAATTGGGCATTTATACTCACAGGATGTGGGGCATTGCTTTTAGTACGAGAGATTCACTATTTTAGGGAATAATAGGAGCCTTTTAGGATTGGAGAGAAGAAAAAGGTTTACTTAGTACAGCAAATTTGTTGATTGTTTTCAATAAAGGCATTGAAAACTTGTAATATTATTTTTAAACTAATAAAGAACATTGATGTTGAAAAGTTTATTGGTTTCTTTTGTGAAAGTAGAAAAAACAAAACCAAGAAACTGATTTCTAGTCATGTAGTAGGTAGACATAAAGGATTTTGCTTTTGAAATCCTTTTAATATTGAGGACTAGTTTAATATGTAGCCTTACAAAGTAATTTTATTTAAGTATATGCATTAGGAAAAATCAAATGTAGCTTTTAGCTATCAACTTGAAAGAAAGAAATCTAAAAATGAATTTTAAAACATTAAGGAAAGTGCCCCTGAAAAGAATGTACCTAATTTTTTTCCTAATCTGGGACTAGTAAAGTATTGTAAGATCTGACAACACATTAGCTTTGGTGTTATCTAACAAGTCTCGGAGCCCTTTTCCCGGTTTCATGATCATATTACATTTATGGCTTAGAAGGGGTGAGGCATTGTAACAGTTCCTGTCCTCCTTTGAACAGCAGCTAAAAGGGGCATAAAATGTGGCATCCTTCGAAAGGCACTTGGCAGCTCCTGGTGACTCACTGGGAGGGCCACGCACTTTCCTTTTTGCCCAACTGGCTCACTTTATTTGTTTGTTTGTGTGTTTGTTTATTTATTTATTTATTTATTTAATCCTCACCCTAAGATATGTTCATTGATTTTAGAGAGAGGAGGGTTAAGAGAGAGAGAGAGAGAAAAACATCGATTGCTTGCCTCCCATACATGCCCGGACCAGGGATTGAACCCACAACCCAAAACCTTTTGGGTGTGTGTTTGTTTATTTATTTATTTAATCCTCACCCTAAGATATGTTCATTGATTTTAGAGAGAGGAGGGTTAAGAGAGAGAGAGAGAGAAAAACATCGATTGCTTGCCTCCCATACATGCCCGGACCAGGGATTGAACCCACAACCCAAAACCTTTTGGTGTATGGAACGACACTCCGACTGAGCCCCCTGGCCGGGGCCCTACTGGCTCAGACCATTTCTGGCAAGTAAAGTGTGCTATGGGGCTAGCCTCCTGAAATTTGACTTCTTCACTGTCTTGATATCCAGACGCTCCAGGTAGTTTTGCCTTAGAGTCACTAAGAAGCCTTGCTGCATTCTGAAAGCAAAATGAGATTATTTATGATGTTTTGCATGACTATTAGAGCATGGTATACTATTTAGGAGATAAAAGTAAATCTGTGGTATTTATTGAGCTGCTCAGGGTTTTTGCTGTATTATCTCCAACTGCCTGTAGTGTATTTTTAGGAATGGGTGAGAGTAACTGTGCCTGGAATAGAAAAGCTCTCCTGCACCGAGACACGATGCTGGCGGCTGCGGCGGTGTACCAAGGTAAGGGAGCCGGCCCTTCCGCCACCCAGGACTCACTGAGAAATGTGTCCTGTCATGTTTATCCCTTAATGTTGCCAATGCTTTTTCCCTTTCCTCTTAAGGCACCATCAGATTTCTTTTTTTTTTCTTTTAATATATTTTTATTGATTTCAGAGAGGAAGGGAGAAGGAGAGAGAAACAGAAACATCAATGATTAGAGAGAATCATTGATTGGCTGCCTCTTGCACACCCTACACTGGGGAGCAAGCCCACAACTCAGACATGTGACCTGACGGGGAATCAACCGTGACTTTCTGGTCCGTAGGTCAGTCCTTAACCACTGAACCACCCCAGCCGGGCACCATCAGATTTCTTGTCCTCCCTTCCAAACTCAGATCCCGTGTATCCATATCCCTTTCCAAACAGTCCTTACTCCTTCCCTACTGTCAGCTTCTCAGGTGTCGAGGGTTTTTCATGGGAGGCATTTTCAGAATCCCACAAGTTCCTATTATCCATTCTCTTTGGAGGATACGACTTTTGTTGAGCAGATTATTTTTCCTACTGGCATTTTTTCAGACTTTAACCATCGTTTGTCTTTATAGAAATGTACAGAAATGAGGATGGTTCGGTGCCTGCCACATATCAGATCTATTACATGATAGGATGGAAATACCATGATTCACAGGTAACAGTAAGACCAATCAGTTTTCTTAGTGGGCTTATGTTTCCATTTGCTGTTTATTGTTTATTTACTTAGGGTGGGGTGTGTTTTTTAATACAAGACAGCATGCAGGGGTTCATTAGAACTACATATTTATCTATTTCTGATGTCTTTAATCTTTCTCATTAATTTCAGGCAAGACCAGCTGAAAGAGGTTCTGCAACTGTGTCATTTGGAGAGCTCGGAAAAATAAACAATCTTATATCACAGGGGGAAAAGTCACAATAAATACTCTATTCAATGTTAATGTGGTCCAGAATTTTCATCCGAGATGGGTAACTTTCAGATCCAAAATTATTACATTTTGAAGCAAGAAGCAATATACTAGCTATTTACTAATAGACTTTTCAAATAATTAGAATAGCCTAACACTATCTTTAGTAACCTTTTCAGTTTCACATGGTTTCTCTTTTCTAGTGATTTGAGTGCCTTATTTGCAGATTCAGCCTGAAAGCAAGAAGATATTTCTCCAAAAAAATACACAAATATGTTCACATAAAAATCGCTGACTTGATGAAAAAATATTACACATGCTGACATTTTGTACCTTTCTCCTGACCTGTTGTTTCTATAAGAGGACCATAACAATGGAAATGAGGGAAGGACATGTTGGTAGATTCTCTGGTGTTCTGGCTCATTTAGAATAAAAACAGACTTTTTATAATGACTATTGTAAAATACTTAAGCCAAAATTATTTGTCACACTGTCACTTTGTCATGAAGAGAACAGAGATTGATGTATTCTCCAGAGCTATTAAGTAGTTTTTCACTTCAGAAGAGTGTGCACTTTTATTGGATACTTCCTCACTTGTTTAAAGCATCAGAACTCTAATCTTATTTCTTTTTTACTTCCAGGATCTGGGCAGGACCCCCATCACCCCCTTAGGATAATTAAGGAGTCAAAATCACACGTAAAAGTGTCTGCACAGTGATAAATAGTGCTGTTTGTGATTGGACTTTCCTTTGTCATTTCAGCCCTTAGGCACTGTTATTCTAATCCAAGTCCACTAGGAGCAATCACAATCATTTGGAAATATTTAAGCTCAGACAGCATAGTGTGGGGGAAGAAGGTGGCCATAGAAGGAAGCAGGGAGGAAGCTGGGAAGCACACAGGAGTGCAAGTATGTTTCTACCAGTCAGTGGTGAGCACTTTGCTGTCCTTTTCACTTAACCGGGCCGGGTCCCAGCCTCTTCTTCAGCTTTTAGTAACTCATTTTACAGTATTTGCTCCTCTCCCGTCTGCCTCCCTCCCTCCAACATACAAGCACTAAGCTCTTCCTGGTTAGGGGCTGGGTCTCACCCTGTACTCCTAGATATTCCATTACATTTGAATTAAATTATGCAGAAAACACATCCTTTGGAAGACTAAGTTAAAAAGCCAAAGTTTTGTAAGAGAAAAGAAATGACTGTTCTTGCTCTCTTCAGTTAGGAAACTCATCGATATTAGAAGCTGGGATACTCTTGGTAGTTTTTTTGTTTTGTTTTTGTTTTTAACACAAAGGAAAAGAATACCGAGGAAGTAGAATTTGGTAAAGGCGGGTTTTTTTAGCTTAATTTTCAGAATTTAAAGGGAGACGACAAAAACAAACAAATAAAAACACCCACAAAAACCCTGTGTATTAAAGTGCAAACTGGTGACTGAGGAACAGATAAATTCCACGTGTCTGTGTTCCCTAAAGGACATGTTTATAGGCATTCATGTTTGTTTTTGAAGAATGCTGACATGTGGTTCCTGCTGAGGAAAGGGACTGTCATCAGGTTTGAATGTCTGTCAGGGGTGCATTTGGTAGGCAGAAACCAGGAGGGAGACTTGTACTTTTTATCTTTATAAATCATAAAGTTTTTACTGAGGATATTACTTTTGTTTATTTCATGCCAATTGAACATGTGGATGGTGAGGTAGGGCTGGAGAGGAATCTACATTGACCTATTTCAAAAATAAACTCCATTGTTTTTTAAAAAATAAAGGAAAGCCCTGGCCAGATAGCTCAGTTGCTTAGTGTTGTCCCAGTTCACTAAAGTTGCAGGTTTGATCCCCAGTCAGGGCATGTATAAGAATCAACCAATGAATGCATGAATACATGGAACATCAAATTGATGTCTCTCTCTCTCTCTCTCTCTCTCTCTCTCTTTCTCTCTAAAATAAGTAAATACAATTAAATAAAGGAATGAAAAATAAACACAATTAATTGAGGACACATTATTTAACACTAGAGGCCCGGTGCACGAATTCGTGCACCAGTGGGGTCCCTCGGCCTGGCCTGCGGGATTAGGCTGAAACCAGCTCTCTGACATCCTCTGAGGGGTCCCAGATTGCGAGAGGGTGCAGGCCAGGCCAAGGGATCCCACTGGGCCAGAGAGGGAATGCGGGAGGTTGGCCAGCTGGGGAGGGACCGCAGGAGCGCTCCAGGGTATGTCCAGCCCATCTCTGTCCCAATCGGCTGGACCCCAGCAGCAAGCTAACCTATTGGTCAGAGTGTCTGCCCCCTGGTGGTCAGTGCACATCATAGTGAGCAGTTGAGCAGCCCCAGGATATCAGCATATTATGCTTTGACTAGAGGCCTGGTGCACAAAAATTTGTGCACTCGGGGGGGGGGGTCCCCTCAGCCTGGCCTGTGCCCCCCCCCAATCT